GGGGGGGGGGGAGGGGGGGAAAGACTTCTCCACTGTAAGAAGGACACATAAGTTACTGGGGAAGCAGATACCAGCGGCTGTGTCATCAAAACATCCACGGTTCATACATGCAGACACAGAGACGCACACACACAAAGGCCTTCATTTTTTTAATTCACACTGTGTGCCCAACAGAAACAGCAGTAAATGTATCTCAGATTCTCCTTTCAAATCACCTTATTTCCTTTGGCGTTCTTCATGGACAAATTCCACAGGGGTGTTATTTTACTGTACAAAAGAAACAGAGGCAGTAAGAGGAAATGTACCAGACCATTTCAAAGCTGGATCGCTGCTGCTGCTCAATGATTTTATCCCCTTCAAATCACAGGAGAGGGGAAGGGTGAATGGAAAAGGACCATACAGTAGAAAAGTTGACTTAGGCAAACCATAGGTGAACTATATAATTAAAAAGGTGACGTTATGGTGTCTAGTAGGCGTACAGAGAGAAGAGTTCGTATATACATATATTCAGAAATAGTGTGTTTGCACACGCACGTGAATTCTCTGTATGTATCGTGTATGTGACTTATTCCGTGGGACTGACTCGTGTTAATATATCTCTTGATCTGGGGCAGGAGAGCACTGCTGATCTTGGCACTAACTTGGCATGGGCCCAGCAAAGCGTCCGCCCTGCACGTCCCACTTTCCCCTTCCAGAGGGGCAGGGCCCACACGCGTGTGCTTGCCGGGCGGGAGCAGGCCGATAATGCTGCAAAGCCGATACCTCACTTACCTCTGCTGGGTGCTTTACTGTTCTTCTACAGAAAACTGTGTTTGATTGTAACTTCAACAGGGAAAAAAAAAAAAAGTCGTCAGTGCATTCAATTCATTGCATCCTCCTCTGCAAATAGATTAGGTTTGTTGATCGCAATTCCCTCTGTGAAATTCAGAAAAGAAAAAAAAAAAATCAGTGTTAATGCCTTTGATGAAACAGGCTGTTGCCTCCACACTCTTCCCATGGTGAGGATGTGTTGCTAACGGGCAGGCTGTAGTGCTGGGTGAATTCATTTTGTGGGAAGGTGCTGGGGTGAGCATGGGAATTAAACCATTAAGAAATTATATGCAGAAATGGAACTTCTCCAAGGTTTGCAGTTCAAGGTGTTTGACCGTTCACTGGCTGAGCCAGGACTTATGGACTTAAAGAGCTTTTACTGTGATTCTTCGGTGTAAAAAAAAAAAAAAAACAAAAAAAACAAACAAAAAAAATCAAACTGTGTTTATATGATTTGTATAAAAACCTTTTAAAATTACTATTTAATAAACATTATGTTAGAGATTATGTTTCAGTGGCTTTTTTATTTACGAAAGTGCAGCACCAAGGAAACCAAACTGAGAGGGCTATGGGTAGCCAGAAACCCCAGGGAAACTGAGGCATGGCTGGAGGTGTGCAGGACCATGCCCACCACCCTCCTTTGCTACGTGCTGCCTATATCCCCTTGGCTCACCCTGCTCTGCCTGTCACCTCAAGGTGACGTGGAGCTTTAATGGAGCCCCTGTGCACACAAGCATCCTCCTGCTTGGACACAGCCTCTCCTCCCAGAGCAGGGATGGCTGGAGGCTGCTCTGGCCCAAAAGCAGCACTTGAGCACAAACCCAAAGGCAGACACAGGTCCCTTCCTGCCACCCTGCGCCACTGCCCAGTGCTGCCAGCAATCCCAGAGAGGAGCGTGGTTTGAGGCTAAGAAAAACATTTAGGACTAAAACGGCTCGGTGCTGAGCAGAAGGTGCTCGGAGCACCTTCTGGGTGGTGACTCAGAGCACAGGGGCACAAGCAGCATGCAGGCACTGGCCTGTGCCCTCTTTCCCTCCTTCCAGGCAGCATCAGGGGCGCGCAGGGTGCCAGACTGTCCCAGCTTGGCCACCTCACCGGGGTACAGGTGCCGGGTACTATATCCCTGTCCTGGTCCCCCCGCCCTGCGATGGCGGGCAGTGACTGGGATGGTGTGGTCCTCTGAGGTTTGGCTTCAGCACCATCCTTGGGGGTCACAGGAGGCATCCGGCAGCGGGGACTCCCAGCAAACCCCAAAGCTAAGCCTGCCCCATGTACTTGTCTTCACCTTCTCTCCACACTGGCCCGGGGGAGCCTCATGTCTCACAGGGGTCCCAGCACCCTGCAGCTGTCCCTGAACCGGGTGACTGGGAGCCAGCGCAGGGCTGCAGGGAGCCAGCTGGAGAAGCAGTGGGGCTGAACCTACAGCATGGAAACTTGTTTATTTACGGGCACCCGGACAAACAAGAGCCAATCTATCAAGCCCCAGGCACCTTGAGAGCAAATGAAATTTTGCTGCCATCTCCTTACCTCCAACACGGTGGCCCCCTCCCAAAGCGCACGTGTGTTAAAGAGGGTCTTTAAGCGATGAAGGGCAGCTGGCAGCTTAGATGAAGATGACAGTGTAGCTGCAACCTTGACAGCTCTTCCCTCACCCAGGAATAAAGAACTGATGTGCAGATTGATACCTGGGGGAGAGGCTGTCAGAGAGCAGGACGGAGACAGCAGATAAGCGACTCAATCAGTGTCAGACCTGTCCTGCCGTAACACCGCCTGTAAATCACTGCGGTTAAAGAGGCGCCTCCGCTAAAGCGAGGAGCAGAAAGCAGGTAATAGAAAAACGGGTGGCAAAGCCGATGTGTGCACTGGCTGGGTTAAAAGCCTGAGAGTTGGGCTGCAGCTGCTGCCTGGGCACAAAGGGGAGGCAGGCACCCGCTTCAGGAAATGGAAACCTTCGGGGGTTTGTTTTATTTAGCACGAGCTGGGGTTGCCTTTGGGTGGGCTGCTTTGCAGCCAGCAGGATGGGGTGGGACCCAGGGGTGCCTGTGTGCATTCGCCATGTACACATGGGTACCCATCGCCAGCGGAGGCTGCAGTGTGGGGGGCCATGGGCATGTTTCATGTGGCACAAGAGTAATCAGTGGCTGAGCGGGCTAATGAAATCGATTTCACCATTCTCAGGCTGCTCCAAGATGGGGATCCAGCCGCTTCAGCACGCCCTCGAGAGCTGATTGCAATTGTGCACGCACCCTCGCTGTCTCTCTTGCCCCTTCTTCTTTGAAATATTCCTTTGCTTTCGGGTTTAATAGAAAAATCTTTTCAAATAATGACTTGCTCTCTGGACAGCTGGGGGCTTGGCAGTGAGGGGGAGCCATGGGGTTGAGTTAATGAGTGGATTCGTAATTAATTAATTGCAGGCAGGTGCAAGTGGAGCCTCCGGTTGCCTCTCTCCTCTGTCTGAAGAGCTCCTCTGTCTCCTAGAGCCTGGCACTATCACCGACTGTCCAAGGGGATTGAGCAAAACCTGGTGCCAGCTTTGCTGTGGACTGTGACTTTGGCAGGCAGGACTTGGCAGGCTGGTGCTCTCATCCTCTGCCCACAGGGACCACAGGGAGCCTGCTCATTGCAGTATGTTGTCTTTACATTTCTGTATCTGTCAGACTCCCTTCATTCAGAGCATGATGACTAGCACCCATAAAGGCACCTTCTCTCCACCAGAGAGCTCCCTGCTGCCCCTCCCCGGGGAAGTTTGATTGCTCTGTTTACTGTAGCTGCATTGAAATAGTTCACACCTTCCCACTTTACACCCCAGATGGGCCAAACCCACCCGGACATGAGAGGTGTTGGTGAACCCCCAACCGGCTGCCTGGTGAGCTGAGCACTGAGGACACTGCTGTGCCGGGCTGCAGCCAGTGCCACCACTGCTGTGTCCACATTGTGTCCTTCCAGCCTTTGGCTGCTCCGGTGGACACTCATCAGAGCCCTGTGGATGTAAGTTCAGAGGGTGACACTGAGTTTTGGGCTGCAACTGTCCATAGCAAAATTTGTACTGAATTCAGTAGGTGCCTTTTGCCACTCACACTGATCAGGTAGGATTAGGCTTTCCCATCAATGCCTGTTACACGCAGCAACCATTTAAGGCAACAAACTCACCATGACTAAAGCATTTTAATAGGAAAATAACTAATCCTTATTGTGTTGAGAGGGAATGACTCCTTTCTAGGCTCCTGTATCATAACTCAGTTGCACCACTAATATCCAAAATGGAAAGCACTGAATTAAACACTCAGCAGTTCTACCCCCGCCTTGGCCTGGGTGCCAAAAAAAAATCAAGGGAAGAAATATAGCCCTGCTTCCTTGTGCTGCTGTGGTGGGCGGAGAGCTGTGGGATGAGCCAGCGTGGGCTGGTGGCTCAGGACTGCAAAAGGCTTTGCTAATATTTCCTTGATTAAATGTTTACAAACCCGGAGGAAATAGCTGTGCCAGATGTTGCTGATAATTTCCTATCAGGTCCCTCCTGGTGTGGTGCTGGGCTGCTTTGTCACCCTTCGGATCAGCTACCAATCTCGTGCTTAGTAACAGCATTGACTAACTTCTTTACCAGCACTGTCAAAATCTCTAGTGCTATTTTTGCCCTCCTGGTGTCTCGGGTATATACAGAGAGTAACTCTGCCCTGGCTTCAAGCCCAGCTTTCTTTGCAGTCCTCGAAGCACACTCCCAAGTAGAGTGGCCTTCAGCAGAGGCACAGGGCAGCTCTTCCATCGCCTCACCACCTTGCCGATGGCCTGGGTGGGACAAAGCAGAGGCAGCCCTGGGCCGTGCTGCCCCTTAGGAAACGCTTTCCCCAAGGTGTCCTTCCCTGCCACACCAATGAAGGGGGTAGAGCTCTTCCATCAGCCTTCAGGGACAGCCATTGCCAAATGAATTTCAACCTCATGTTTTAAGAAGACATTCGATGTGCTTACCAGAGCTGGGGAGCCCTTTACACTGCAGCAATAATCCAGCGCTCAGCCATGAAATCCTCAGCACAGTGACACATCCATCCCTTTCAGCAGAGAAGTTTTATTAACTTAGGGTGTGAAAAGTTTCAGAGAGCAAAAAGTCTCTTTCC